CCCGTTTCCCCCGAGGTGCTCTCCATCAAAACTGGGGGGGTGGAACTAAGCGAAGTCGCACTGTCACCCGTATGGTGCTCAAGGTTGCCGGTAGGGGATGAGAGGCGGGAGACCGTCGGATCTGTCCTACCCCGGGATGCTGTCCATCAAAACTGGGGGGGGCAGAACTGAGCGAAGTCGTACTGTCACCTGTATGGTGCTCAAGGCTCTTGCCAACGACAGGCGCCATCTTACGCCACGATGAATTTCGTGGGCTTCTTCTGATGTCACTCTTAGACAAGAGAGATAAGTCAACAACAAAATAACATATGAAATGACAAACGGCAATTTTAAGATCAAGAGATTTTAGCTTGAAAATTTATATTTTGTGTTTGATAGGAAAAATTAATAACTTATAATTATTACAAAAAAATAAATCCATAATTTTAACCTTTAGAAACATTTCTGAACTGTTCAGATGTATTCTTCAGTTTTATTAGAAGTGAGGAGTAACGAACGCTGTCATAGAATGCTGTTTTTTGACCGCCAAAGCCATGCCCTTAAGGGCCCATGTATTGATTACTGCTAAAAATAAGCAATGAAACCGGAGAATCAAATTTAATAATTCGAGATGAAACGTAAAATTTGCGTGCGTAACACAAAACATGAACCAAATATACTGCAGTAAGGACGAGGGTTCAAACATTTTCAAAGATTATTCAACGTACATTCTCAATTTACCTCTAACCATTCCCCCTTTTTTTTTGTTTGGGAAAAAGAAATAAATAATTACCACATTCCTACTTCGCTTTTTCAAACGACTATAACGGGTAAGTTACTCGAATATAGCAAAACCACACGAGAGCTATTTGCCCGAGGGAAGAGATGCCTTTGTGGAGGACTTTCTAAGGGTAAATGGCTCGTATTCACGTTACACATGGGGAAAACCACAAAAATGAATCATGCGGCCAGCCCGTTTGCCTGGATTTGGAAAGAAGTCAAACCACCAACATTCGGCGGTCTTAATCATTCGGCCACTGGCGAAACAAACGACTATGAAATTTGTATCAATTCAATTGTATTAACCAAAGCAAAAGCTGTATTAAAGAAAGTAAAAGCTGTATTAACTCAATATATTTTACATTAACGAACCAGTTGTTTAAATTAACACGTCATTTGTTATTTTAAAAATCTTCGCATTAGTTGCTTCATCTACTGTATCAAAATATGAAAATGAAATGAGTTTTATATGGGAGCAAGAATCGAAAATTAGGAGAGAATTGGCAATATCCTCCTGCTGTAGTGAAATTCATGTTTTGTTATCTGTCTTTAGTGATGATGATACTTGTTAGCGAGTTTGTTTCTGGTGGAAAATTAAGTTAGTAGTCATGGAAGAGTGAAAGCGGTTGGCCACTGATGGGTTCTTGATGAATTAATAAAAAAAAAAAAAAATTCCTTTTACAGAGTTAAGACGTGCCTGCCGAGTGCGTTGACAATGTGTTATGATTTTGCTGGATTTTTAATGTTTTAAAATAGAAATACGCTTTTTTTTTTCTGATTGTTTGTGAGATACCGTATTTACTGAATATATTACGATCTCAAATTTAAGACGACACCTATTTTATTTTTCAACAACTCCTGGAAGATTTAATTCTAAAGATATTTTTCATCATGAATCCACATGAACAAATACTGCGCTATTATCTACGGTTCTGTAATACAAATTTAAGCAGAATTTAGGTACTTTTGAAAAAAGGCACTCTCGTAAAATAAAAGTTTTAAACTGTAGAACCTATTTGTAAATACTGCAACAACGGTTTTTATAATTGCCAATACACTACACACTAACGTAACCGAAATTCGGACACTGAAACTGCTACTTAAGAGTCACTTTCTCTCGCTACTAAGAATGGATTCTGGAAGAAAATGTTTTTCTGGAAGAAAATGACTGGGGGGGGGGGAATAGAAGTCGTGCATAAGTAATCATTCCATGTACTCATACAACTTGAAAACATTGACAGTTTTAACACTCTTTATAATTAGTTTAAAAATTGGGAAGAGGACGTAAACCTCATCTTGTAATATTCGGGTAAATACGTTATTTATCCTTCATTTGAAGAGTATATAATAATCCGTAGAATAATAGCATTAGATAAAGAGTATAAATTATTTAACTCTTGAATCATAACATTACAATACTGTAACATAACACAATAATATGAGGTTAAATGTTCCACCCCCAAAAGTTTTGCTTTAATATAACAATATTAAGAACTGAAACTGAAAATTTCAAAGCTAAAAATAGAAATACGCTTTTTTTTTTTCTGATTGTTTGTGAGATACCGTATTTACTGAATATATTACGATCTCAAATTTAAGACGACACCTATTTTATTTTTCAACAACTCCTGGAAGATTTAATTCTAAAGATATTTTTCATCATGAATCCACATGAACAAATACTGCGCTATTATCTACACACTGCCAATACAGCAAGTAGAAGTGACTAGGCAATTTGAAGAAATAAGCGTGTGTTAAGAATTTTAAAGTGGGTTTTAATTTTTTTAACTATTTTAAATACTTGCTATACTCAACGTACAAATCCCTTGGACACAAACGGCACAAAACATTCCTTTACGAGACATACGAGCTCCGTTAGTGATGATAAAATACACACTTAAATTCACTTCCACACCTCTTTTCGGTCTCTTTGCAATAAATGCGGTTTTGAAATCGTTCTTTTCTTCAAACTAGCTATTTAGAGGTACTCCAAAAAATGGCTTCAAATGTCTAAGCAGCCCACCAGTGGTCAAGCGGTAAAGTCCCTAAACACTGGTAGTTCGGTCTGAGGTTCAAATCCCGCGAACGGGCTGGCTACATGGGCGTTTTTGTGGTTTTCCGATGTGTTTCCCTTAGAATGTTCTCCACGAAGGCATCTCTCCCTTCCGTATAGTGCCTTAGAAGGGACACGTAAATAATAATAATAATAAATATCAAAGCAACTTTATATCTTGGCTGCGTATTCCCCATGCTAAAGCTGCAAAACTGATTATAAGAAAGCATTCGACGCATATTTCTAAGAAAGGATGCCTTCATACAGGATTTTCTAAAGAAAACTGTCTCCTACTCATATTACTTATAAGAAAGCGCAAGAAAATACCCATGCAGCCAATCAATTTCATCGACGAGAATTGAACTCAGAACAAATATTCTATTGATTAAGGCTGTTTTATTGATTAAAATAAAGGAGGAAAAAACTGTTAACTTAATAATGATTTCAAGGATAACTTTCTAAAAAAAAAACTTACTCATAGCTACAACACGAAAAGGAGAGAAAGAAAAACCAAAAACAAAACAACCGAAACCCAGGGCATCAAATCTTTTAGTTACGATAGGAGTAATTTTTAAGTTTTGGTTTTGCACTGCTTTCTTAATATAAAATAATTGGCGACATGACTAGCACTTAAAATTGCATTTAACTCGATCAATATTGAATAATCAATATTTCTAAAGCCTGAAAATACACAGGGAAGAGTCTTTGTGAAGATTTCTCATAAAACTTGGATACTTTTCAATGTTTGAAGTTGTGAAAATGCTTTTAGATGTGAGAAGTCTTACTCATTTTGAAGGAGGAGCTGAGAAATGTGTTACTACGCTGGTTCAATGCCTTTTAGGAATAAAGTAAGTTACTGCTCTTTTTTATCCAGGATTGTTGAAAAATTATTAGTGGTGCAAGAAGGATTAAGTATGAATTATTTAATCTCGGCAGATAATAAATATTACAGATCACCGAAAAGCTTTTCCAAAGCCGGTTTTGAAAAGATATGTTGCTCTATTACATGAATTTTCATCTTAGCACTGCGAAGTGAATTCAAAGGCATGAAATTAGGTTTTTCAAAAGATGGAGTTTCCTTAGTCGTTTCACTTCATTCATTATGTCGTGACCTTTAATTTTTTTGAGGCATCCAACAGCGGTAAAGTGATTGAGAAAAGCCTTACAAAGAGAGAGGGAGAGAGAGAGAGAGATAAATCAGGAGGCCTTAGCCTCCATGAAAGCATCCCACATTTAGGCAGAAAGCCCTCGGGTTATTTGAACACGGCAAAGCCTACAACCTAACCACCGACTAACTAGTTGCACTAGTTACAGTTTTTAACTAGTTGCACTCCAACAAGAAAGACACCCTGCACGTGATACCATCACAATTTTTGACTTTCTAATATTTAAAATGTCCCCATAAAATGTTCTAGCCTCTAAATATTTCTACTCCCTAAGAAACCAATAATGTAGTTATTAGCAATTTACGTTATTTTTTAAATGTAGTCGCTAGTTGTTGACAATGTGGCTAAAACTGAGAAAATAATTATTATAAATATTTCGTTGAATGTTGCACACAATGTCAAGAAACTAGGCCCACCAGCGGCCGAGCGGTAAAAGCCGCTGAACACTGGTAGTTCGGTCCGGGATTCGAGTCCCGGCGAACGGGCTGGCTGCATGGCGTTTTCGTGGTTTTCCCCATGTGTAACGTTGATACGAGCCATTTTCCCTTAAAAAGACCTCCACGGGGCATTCCTCCCTTTCTGTGAAGTGCCCAAGGGCGGAGCACGTAATAAGAAAAAAAAAAAAAAACAGTCAAGAAACTTTCTGCATTTTACTTATTAAAATATAATGGATGTTTCTCTATTTGTGCTTTTTGCTTTGAGGGGACCATAAAAAATCAAAATTTTGTATATTCAAAGCCGTTCTTCTCCCAGTGATCAAACTGTTCTTATAAAATTCTCTCATCGAGAGAAACTGTAATAATAATAATAGGCGGTAAATACGTAGAATTAATAGTTAAAGAAATAAAGCCTGCAGGCACTTTCTTCGACTACACTGTATCACAGAAGAAGTTACACTACGTTTACTATTAGTGATAGACGGGCAAGCGACGTTTATGAGGATTTACATTTCTAACCACAACATACATTCATCTAACATGCCAACGTAATACATGCCATGACAATATACAATAAATAGCTACCTAGAGTGGATGAAATAACCGGACCATCTGTAACGGATGTCATGGCAGTATGAGAAACACCATATTCGTTACGGACAACTGGCCCAGCAACTGTGCCCAAACAGCCTTTGATAAGTTGGAGGATATTAAATCTGAAAGAAACAATAAATATATATGTAAACATAATATTTTTTTTAAGTTACAAATCATAAACATTTTAAAATGGCACATATTGTTTACTAAACTACTACTTTTTAAAGACTAAGAAATTAGGTCAAGAAACATTGCGGTTGAAGGTCAGAATGCAAGGCTGAATCGGTGCAAATTAAAGTTTCGCGTGACTAAAATGCCACGTAGATGCTGCACACCACCTTCATTTTTATTTGATGAAATAAAAGTCGTTATCGCAATATACCGCAAGCCGAATATTCAAGTCCCTTTCGTCAAATGATTTTACAAGCCATTAATGCGAATATACTGCAAGCAATATACCACAAGCCGAATATTCAAGTCCCTTTCGTCAAATGATTTTACAAGCCATTAATGCGAATCTTTACAATCATAACGATTATCACAAGACGAATAGTCCTCTGTTATATTTTTCGCAATTTTTTCGTAACATACATGGAATTTTTAAATTTACACTAGTACTATCAATTACAATAATTTAAAGAATGTTTTTTCTACATCATTTAATAATACTACAGATTTTGAACTTAAGAGTAGTTACTATATAGTACGCGAGATATAAATGTAAATGTATGTGCATTGTTTATATGTCATAGTGTATACGGATGAACGCATGTACTACTGTATTGATTCTGTGAAGTATTTTAGACATACAGCTAGTATAACGTGTACTTACAATATATAGCAGAGGAGACCAAACTGTTCATACCAAGTCACAGATTCATTTTAAAAATTAAAAAATTCCAAGCACAAGAGTCCATGTGCAGTTGGATTTTCTACGACACTACACTAGATATTTACATCACTTAAAAAAAAAAAAAAAAAAAAAAAAAAAAAGGGGGGGGGAAACAAAAATGTCACGTAAATTAACTATGATATCACAATCTTTAAGTTATGCGGTTATTTATAAGCTCACATAAATAATTTCTGCTACTGTGCACTATATTCAGGAGCTTATTGACCTACGATACACAGCTCCTCCAGTGGCCGACTGGTTAAAAGCCTCTGGCCTCTGAATAAGGACAGTTCGACCTATGTTCGATCTCAGGCGAACGAGTCGGCTGCATGGTTGGTTTTCATAGTTTTACCATTGTGTATCGTGAATAAGTCAGTTTCCCTAAGAGAGTCGCCCACGAAAGCATCTCTCACCTTAGGCAGACAACCCTTGTGTGCTTTGGCATATTCAGTTAACCTAAACCTAAGGTACACAAATTGACATATTTTACTATATACTGAATTTTGTTTATCTTAGTAGAAAAATCGGGAACTTCCTTCTGATTATAATTATTAACTGTAACAAATTTTCATCGAAAGAAGACATAGTAGTCTTTACAGTAGTGGAAAAAAAAAGCTATTTATTCTAGTGAAAGATCGCGTATTCTGTTCTGGTTGTTAACTAATGGTAAGAGGTTCAAATTTGCATCGAAAGAAGACATACATTTATTCTTACCCTATATGATTTCTCCCGTAAACAATAAAAATATATAAACAGGAATAACTGAGGAAAAATTAAAACTGAAATGCAGAAATTATTCTAAAAGAATGACAACTTAGCAATATTAAGCAACTAGTTTCTCGAGGACACACGAGAGGATCCACATACGGAACTCATACCTTAAAATCAATCAATAAATTCATTAGATATGAAATGGTTAATTACACAGGTTTCTTTCAAGACAAATTACAAACATAACATTCGTAATGGTGTTTAGCACAATTCGTTAACGCAACGTTTTGTGTAACTGCGTGTCTTTTCGGCTGTTTCAAAAAATATTATCGCTATGGTTAATTGGACATAGAAACATAATTATTTGCCTTTATTCATTATTCGACGATTAGCGCACATTTTAAAATTATTAAACATATATGGTAATTTTAAAAATTAAATTATTTGTTGTTGGAAGAGTACGTCACTGAACGACATTTCAAACTATTTTTCTAAAATAAGATAAAAATTATTGCTTGTTATAACCCAAGTCGCAATTAAGCAATTCGGGGGGGGGCGGATGTGTTTTGCAAGACGCAATTTAGCTATGCCTGGTTAATGATATATACACTCATGTCCATAAATTAAGGATAATGCAAAATCAGGCAAAGGAAGAGTTAGAATCAAAACAAATTTGACTTATTTGTAAAGCTTATTTATTAAACAAAAGGTAAAGAGCAAAAAAAGATGCTATATGTTTGATATTATAAAAAAAAATTAGCGATTTTTTCTCCCTGGAGCAAATTAAAAAAAGACCTATTTACAAAAAACCAATATTACATAGTTGGTATAATTGTTAATACATTGTATGTCTCCCAGACGATGCAATACAGTCCGTACAACGCCTAGACATGCTGAGTATCAAATTATCGATCTGATCTTGGGGGATATTACACCACTCAAAAAGCAATGCTCTCCGAAGTTCCGGTAGACATGTAGGAGGAGGTTGACGGGCTGCAACTCGTCGGCCAAGCATGTCCCACACGTGCTCTACTGGATTCAAGTCCGGTGAGAATGCTGGCCAGTCCATACGGGTGATATCCTCCGATTGAAGACATTCGCTTACGATGTTTGCACGGTGAGGACGGGCGTTGTCATCCATAAACAAAATTGTGCGCAGATGGTGCCCCGAAACAAACGTACATGTTGTTCCAGAATGACGTCCCGATAGATTTGGCTTGTCATGGTTCCAATTTGAAAATTTTCGATATAATATCTTATTCCTCAAACTTGCTGCGAATGTCAGATATCGATAAGATTACGAAATAATAGGTGCATATATTACTTGTACCCATTGCTGAATTATATATATATACATACTGTATATTACACTCATGTCCATAAATTAAGGATAATTCGGAGTCACGCGGAAATCGAACTCTAAAATAAATATATCACCTGTAAAATTACTACACACATCTTCAAGAATCATATGCAAATTTCAGGAAGTAACCAGATGACACCGATGGTACGTCACAATGACGAGAGTGTAAGAGAGTGATATATAAGATTTGAAGGTCAGTTCTGGAACCCAGAATAATTCCACCCCAAACGAGCACTCCTGCACCACCGTAACGGTGTCGTTCAATGATGTTTTCTTGATGGTAACGGGTACCTGGAGCTCTCCATATGAAAGTCCGGCGAGAATCAGACCGCAAGCTGAACCTGGACTCGTCGGAAAACATCACACAAGCCCACTGTTGCGGTGTCCACAATGCACGCCTTTACTCCAGGCTAACCGCAGGCGACAGTGAGTTGCAGTAAGTGGAACGCACCTGACAGGTCTACGAGCATATAGACCAATCTGCCCTAAGCATCTGTACACGGTCTGCCTTGAAATTGTCATACCAGTGGCTGAAGACAGCTGACGAAACAGGTCTGAGGCTGTGCTCCCCCTGTTTCTTTTGGCAGTAACTGCCAAATATCGGTCCTCATTCGGCGTTGTAACTCTGGGGCGATCTGTGCTGTAACGTCTACTCACATTACCATCATCTTGGAATCGTTGCCAAAGCCTGGAGATGACACTCTGGGCAATTCCAAGTTCGTCTGATAATTCCAGTTGGGTACGCCCACATTCCAGACGGCCGATAATTCTACCACGTAAAAAATCATCCAAATGCGTCCTTTGTATCATAACTATTCGGTTACTGCACTGAAATGCTTATAAAGCGCCTGGGAACAATTTTACTTCTTTGCCTGTATTCCTTATATATCACTCTCTTACACTCTCGTCATTGTGACGTACCATCGGTGTCATCTGGTTACTTCCTGAAATTTGCATATGATTCTTGAAGATGTGTGTAGTAATTTTACAGGTGATATATTTATTTTAGAGTTCGATTTCCGCGTGACTCCGAATTATCCTTAATTTATGGACATGAGTGTAATATACAGTATGTATATATATAATTCAGCAATGGGTACAAGTAATACATGCACCTATTATTTCGTAATCTTATCGATATCTGACATTCGCAGCAAGTTTGAGGAATAAGATATTATATCGAAAATTTTAATGTTCATTGAATCTAACTAAATATCTTCAACTATTTTAAGTAGATGGCGTCTGATATGTCATCTCAAACCGGGCCGGGTCTTGTTAAACATATAAACTCTGTCGGGATCGCAGCTTAAATTCTGTTCGGTTCCAGTTTTCGGTCGGAAGTCATCTTGACAGCGCATAATGATTACATATCGGCCTGTCACATACGAGGTCGCAGAGGGCCTATCACATATAAAGTAAGTAAAAAAAATTAGGTTACTTATTTTCTCAAGTTTTTAGTTTTACTAATTATTTTACCGGCTTCCAATCATTTGAATTATTTTTCTTCGTATTAAGATATAAAAAGTTAATTACTTTTATAATCTAATACTTTAATTTAGAAATGCTGTATTCGAAGGTATGCTCTTAGTACTAATAGCGTACTAACATAAATTCTTCTACATCTTATGCCGAAAATGTAAGAAATAAGAAAATATTTCAGAATTGCCACTGTTGGTATAAAGATTAAATTTTAATTGAATATTTTAATTAAAAAAGAAAAATCAATTAAAAAGTCTTCTCACTATTCTGGAACATAGGGTTCACCTTGATGTGATTCATTTCTTTACCATTTTATTAACCCAAAACTTTTAGGCAAAGTTAGAAAATTTTATATCGAACTTGTGCAATGAAATCTGACGGTTAAATATGCAGTGCAAAAGGAATGCAATAGGCCACGAAGATAGTTATCTAGAGCAGCGGTTCTCAACCTTTTGACTGACGTGTACCACCTAAACAAAAATTGATAAACTTTAGTACCACCATTACATTTTACAGTGTATATTTTTCAGTTTCTCAATAAAAATTTAAAAAATAAATTAATTAAAAAAATACTCTGCCATTTGCACAACCTATTGGCTATTTGTATTAAACATGCACACATAAAAAAATATTAGATTGAAAATTGGTTACTATTTTAATTATCAAAATTTAAG